AATACTGTGAGCCAAGATCATAAATAATATGAGAGCTTGGCTTGTGCAGCACTCTCCTCTTTACATACTACTCAAGCTCACACATACTCTTTGAGACTTACAATAACCCAGTGAAATCATATGAATTAAGATGATCGCTCCCATTTTACATTGAGATTCGAGAGATTAAGTGACTTGTCAGAAGTTACACAATGTAATGAATGGCCTCCTATATTGGTTTACAAAACCTAGCACTCTATCCACTGTACCTTGATAATCAAACTGCAATTCAAATCTTATGAACTAGGAAGATAGCAACAAAAACGTCTACAGATATGTGGTGGTTATGACTGAGACAGAGTCCAAATGCTGGCCTCACCACTTACTAGCTGGACGATGAATAAAAAATCACACGTCTTTTCTGAATTTCAGTTTTCTCATCTGCAAAATAGGGATAATGATATTACCTACATCATGGGTAAATGTTGTACTAAATGAGGGGAAATTTGTAAAACTCTTGGAACAATTTCTGACATAAAGGTAATATTACATAAATGCTGATTAAATGAAAATAAGAAACTGTGTTAGCCTTTCTTCTAAAAAACCCCATTTAATTTATCATGAGTTTAAAATGTCACTATTAAAATTTGCTTAATCATCAAAAACTCAGGTTAACTAGAGGAAGTTTAATCATGTATCACACTATGCTCCACTCACCCTCTCATTCTGGTTTTTTTTTTTTTTTTTCTGTTATGTTTATTGAAATGTGGTTTACAAAAATTACATTTTTTTAGGTGTACAGTTCTTTGAGTTTTAACAAATGGCACCAAAGACCTCCTATGCCAAATGAGTATGCTATGCTCCACGGCCTGCTTTTAAAAAGTTAAAGGCCTAAGAGTCTCGTTGTATCTCAACAAATAAGGAGTCATTCAGCTCATCATCATATAATCATGGGATCACCATTACAATTCATATGATTTTTTTTCACTGCAAAAAGTTCCACCATTTGGAGTCAATCTCTTTCTTCCATTCCCATCCCTGGCACCACTAATCCGGTTTCCATTTCTTTAGTTTGCCTTTCATGATGTTATATAAATGAACTCACACCATATGTAGCCTTTTGTGTCTGATTCCAAGATCCATCCATGCTGTTGCATGTATAAGCAGTTCATTCCTTTTCTTAAAGCTTTTATGTTTACATTTAAAAAATTTATTTCCTCATTCTTAACCATTCATCCATTAGTTATTTTTTAAGCCTAATAAATCTTGAAACATGGATGATTGTTTGTATTGGAATAGACAATTCTCTGTAGCTAAATTGAGAGTCCATGAGTCAAGGCTTCCCTTGAGAAAAGCTTTTTAAATGACAGGACTAGACACAGGCTACAAAGGGGAAATTGTCCAGAAGCGCAATGGCACCAAAGACCTCCTATACCAAATGAGTGTGCTATGCTCCACGTCCTGCTTTTAAAAAGTTAAATGCCTAAGAGTCTGGTTGTGTCTCAACAAATAAGGATTCATTCAGCTCATCAGGATCTGAGTTCTAGCATTGTTCAGTTGACAATTATGTGGCGGTTAGAGGTCTGGGAAATGTGTCTTTTCCTGGTATGGAGAGGGCAGCACAGGGCAGGGAAGTCAAAGTGATATATTTTTTCATATTCAGTAAGTCTGTCTGTGTTTTGTTTAATACTTTAAAGACTCCTGTGTGTTAAAGAAAACTCTCTTCTACTCCTTCAGTAAAATCAATTCAGTTTTGCAGATTTATAGAATTTTCTGTCTTTGAGAGATGAAAGGAGTTTTTTTATAAATTGGCCCTTGAGAGAAAAATATAATTTTATATAAGTTTGCTATTTTAAGTACCATTTCGGTTGTATTTTTGTCTTACAATGTATTTTTCTGTCCAGTATTTGAATGAACTAATTGCACTAGCTCTCAACATGCCAAAATAATTCAATACCAGATTATTTGAAAATACTTTTTAAGAAAATCTGAGTAATAAAAGTATTCATCCCTATCTACTTCTCCTGATATAGATGCATTAAATGGGAAATGGCCAGCAGTGATCAAGTCTTGACTAATACTGAAAAGCAGAAGCTTGTGTTTATAATCACTGCCATCACAATTCTTTATAGTATGTAAATACTTTAATAATCATGAAGATAAAACGGCATTATTGATTTAAAAATATATGATGCCCCTGTAATTCCAGTTATTTGGGAGGCCAAGGCAGGAGAATCACTTGAGGCCAGGAGTTAGAGACCAGCCTGAGCAATATAATGACACCCTAATTCTAAAAAAAAATAATAATCATCATAATAAAATAAATTAGCCAGGCATGGCAGTGCATGCCTGCAGTTCCAGCTACTAGGGAGGCTGGGGACTACTTGAGCCCAGGAATTTGAAGTTGCAGTGAGCTGTGATCATGTCACTGCATTCCAGCCTGAGTAACAGCAAGACTCTGTCTCTTAAAAAAGAAAATATGCGTGTGTATATATATACAATTCATTTGAATTAGAATTTCTATTTAAATATCTTCAAGTAATCAATGAGTTCACATTGGCATAAATACACAAATATGCATTAAGAAAAGCTCTGACCACAGCAATTGAAGTAGTAATTATATATTAAAGTGTAGTCAGTATATAGCCAAGTTTTTCATCACAAGGACCAATGCATTAATTATACTGCTTAGAAATCAGCAGCAATACGTACATTTGGCACTAATTATTATTAAATGAAAACATGTACATAGCCATACACTAAAATATACATGCAAAAAAGAGTTAGTAAAGGAGTAATTCATAAACTTGATTTTTAGTAGGTTCTTAAATTATTGCATCTACATCTGAGTCCTTGACACCCAAAGGTGTCAAGGATCCTGTGAACAGTTACTACAAAAAAGAGGGGTCATTCTTAATACACAGTAAATACTAAAGCAGGTTTCATTCACCAGTTGGAGAGTATGCTATTTTAATGGTTTTTTAATGTATGTGAGTGATATCATCTCATGAGATTTGAAGGAACACATGGATTTCATTTTGTTGTTTTACATTTATTTTTGTTTTCTCTGGAATAACTGCAATCAGAAGATATTATTGGATGAGAGAGATTTTATAAATGTGTCTTATCTTCCCTTTCAGCATCATCTTCATTTCCGTCATTTTAGAATGAAAGGAATCTTGAAAATCCATAAATACAATACACAGCTAAAACACTCAAGAGACACTTAGAACATTTGGTAATTTGTCTCCCTGTTAATTTACTTAAAAAATTTATACACATTTATTTGTAAGAAGAGTTATTTTATTAATTTAGGCTTCTAATCAATCTCTAAGGCCCAGCAGTTGGCTCAAGAAACCATAATGTACTTAGTTTCCTAGATTTTTCCTGTATTCTCAATTTTTATACATCTATTAAAAACTCTCCAAATAATTTGGACATTGAAATTATCAGTAGCAGGAAGAATTAAGAAATTACTGTACTCCTAATGCATGAGCATCAGCCATCATACCCTTGTTTCAAATGTGACTTATTCGTCCTAATATGCTCATCCTACTTAAGGTGGGGTTTTGGTTTCAAAAATTATATGATTTATATGCAAATCAATGTAATGCACATTTGTTAGAGAGATGACTTTGAGAATGCAAATATGTACAGAACATAGTCCTGGCCCACCAAGGGTTTACATGGTTTGGTGGTAATAGATGCAATCTAACACATAATAAAGGAATGAATCTCATGATACACACAGAACAATAGGAGAACAGGGTATGGTAAAAGGACTTGAAGTCACAAGGAATCTGGAAAGAAACTCTGGATATGACAGGATTTAAGCAGAGCTTCAGAATATGCATAGCACTCCAACAGAGATTGCCTGAAGGGAGATTAGGGAAACCATAAACAAAACAAACAGAACACCACTCAGGTGTCTTAAGGAAATTGTTAGTAGCCTAGCAGAGTTAAGACATAGGTGGCTCAAGGCTACAACAGCAGGGACTAAAAATCTAATATTTTCAAACTCTAAAAGGAAAGCATGTTGAATTTACAGTAAAGGAGGTAAGAAAAATGCCAGGAAATATTTTAAAAGCTAACTGCAATAGGCTGGGTACGGTGGCTCAAGCCGGTAGTCCCAGCACTTGGGAGGCTAAAGGTGAATTACCTGAGGTCAGGAGTTCCTGACCAGTGTGACCAACATGTTGAAACCCTGTCCGTTACTACTAAAAACACAAAAATTAGCCAGGCATGGTGGCGGGTGCCTGTAGTCCCAGTTACTTGGGAGGCTGAGACACAAGAATCACTTGAACCTGGGAGGCAAAGATTTCAGTGAACTGAGATTGCACCACTGCACTCCTGCCTGGGTAACAGAGTGAGACTCCATCTCAAAAAATAAATAAATAAATAAATAAATAAATAAATAAAGCAAGCTAACTGCAATAAATCTTAATCTTAACAACTTTTGTCTTTTAATGATCTGGCCAGCATTTCCAGATAATTTATGTATTTATCATTATATTTCAGAGTACTTTAATTTTTTTATGATTTTGCTAAGGTAATAAAATACTGAACTGGATTCTTCAGGATGCTGTCTTGATGGATGCACATAGAGACATCAATAATGTCCCCACATCTTTACTCTTGTAAAAAAAGAAGAAGGAAAGAAGGTAAGAAAGGGGAATGGCAGTTGGAATCTGTTGGGATCGCAGTTGGAATCTGTCGGGATGGCAGTTGGAATCTGTCGGGATGGCAGTTGGAATCTGTTGAGATGGCAGTTGGCCAGTCCTGGGCCTGAGAGTCTGCCCATGGGAGACCCCATCAGCCTGTTACCTTTGCCTCCAGGTAGGAAGAAAGTAATCTAAGGATTTATGCAAGTCTGCATTCCTAGGCGAGTTTGTGTAACTGATGCCAAACCGAGGAGGAAGGCTGTGGAAGAGGCTGTGGAGGCCCGCTCACCAGCCCCAGGCTGTTGGCCAGAGATGCACTCCCGCTCCTGCCTGTGACTCAGCATTTGACAGTTAACTGGTATGGCAACATTATATGGCTTTACCGTTGAAAAAGTGAAGGCATATCTTTCTCTTCACCCCAAGGTATTAGATGAATTTGTATCTGAAAGTGTTAGTGCAGAGAGAGTGGAGAAATGGCTGAAGAGGGAGAACAACAAATCAGAAGATGAATCAGCTCCTAAGGAAGTCAGCAGGTACCAAGATACGAATATGCAGGCAGTTGTATATGAACTGAACAGCTACATAGAACAACGGTTGGACACAGGAGGAAACAACCAGCTACTCCTCTATGAACTGAGCAACATCATAAAAGTAGCCACAAAAGCTGATGGATTTGTACTGTACTTCCTTGGAGACTGCAATAATAGCCTGTGCATATTCACACCACCTGTAAGGCTGGCTGCCTCCCCCGAAGTTCGGACTCGCCCATCTCTCTCCCCGCTTGAAAATTACATTATCAGAATATGTCCATCATCTAGCTCTGCCTTGGAAATCCCCTCTGCACTCGGCACCTAGCCCGCCTTGGAAATCCCCTCTGCACTCGGCACCTAATCCCACCCTTGGAAATCCCCTCTGCACTCGGCACCTAACCCTACCCTTGGAAATCCCCTCTGCACTCAGCACTTAGACCACTCACTGGAAATCCCACCAATAGCAGCTCATTCCATCCACATCCTGTTTCTCCAAATCCAATCAAACGCCTTCGCTCCCTATAAAACCCCGCCCCTGAGAGGAGTCAAGCACAACTTCCCTGGCCCCTCTCCCCTGGACCACAGAACCTCACCTGGGAGCTGAATAAATTGGCATCTAATTTTCTTGTGCTGGCCTCAGTTTCCTCATTTTTAACTCGGCAATAAACCTACAGAGAATAAACTTTACACCACCTAGGATAAAGGAAGGAAAACCCCGCCTCATCCCTGCTGAGCCCATCACCCAGGGCACCACCATCTCTGCTTATGTGGCCAAGTCCAGGAAAACACTGCTAGTAGAAGACATCCTTGGGGATGAACGATTTCCGCGGCGTACTGGACTGGAATCAGGGACTCGCATCCAGTCTGTTCTTTGCTTACCAACTGTCACTGCATTTGGTGACTTGATTGGTATTCTTGAGTTGTGTTGGCACTGTGGCAAAGAAGCCTTCTGTCTTAGTCACCAAGAGGTTGCAACAGCAAATCTTGCCTGGGCTTCAGTAGCAAAACATCAGGTACAGGTATGCAGAGGCCTTGCCAAACAGACTGAGTTGAATGACTTTCTACTGGATGTATCAAAAACATATTTTGATAACATAGTTGCAATAGATTCTCTACTTGAAGGCATACTGATATGTGCAAAAAACCTGGCGAATGTCGATCGTTGTGCACTTTTCCAGGTAGACCATACTCAGATCTTTTTGATATTGGAGAGGAAAAGGAAGGAAAATCTGTCTTCAGGAAGACCAAAGAGATAAGATTTTCAATAGAGAAAGGAATTGCTGGCCACATAGCAAGAACAGGGGAAGTCCTGAACATTCCAGATGCCTATGCAGACCCACGCTTTAACAGAGAAGTAGAATTATACACAGGCTACACCACGTAGAACATCCTGTGCATGCCTATCGTCAGCCAAGGAAGCGTGATAGGTGGTGTGCAAATGGTCAACAAAATAAGTGGTAGTGCCTTCTCTAAAACAGATGAAAACAACTTTAAAATGTTTGCCATCTATTTTGCTTTAGCCTTACACTGTGCTAATATGTATCATAGAATTCGTCACTCAGAGTGCATTTACCAGGTAACGATGGAAAAGCTGTCCTACCATAGCGTTTGTACTGCAGAAGAGTGGCAAGGCCTCATGTGATTCACCTTTCCCGTGTGTCTCTGCAAAGAAATTGAATTATTCCACTTTGACATTGGTCCTTTCAAAAACATGTGCCCTGGAATTTTTGTCCATATGGTTCATCGGTCCTATGGGACATCCTGCTTTGAGCTTGAAAAGCCATGTCGTTTTATTATGTCTGTGAAGAAGAACTACCGGCAAGTTCCCTATCACAACTGGAAGCATGCGGTCGCTGTAGCGCATTGCATATACACCATACTTCAGAACAACCACATGCTTTTCACAGACCTTGAGTGCAAAGGACTGCTGATTGCATGTCTGTGTCATGACCTGGACCACAGGGGCTTTACTAACAGCTACCTGCAGAAGTTCGACCACCCTCTGGCAGCTCTCTACTCCACCTCCACCATGGAGCAGCACCACTTCTCCTAGATGGTGTCCATCCTCCAGTTGGAAGGGCACAATATCTTCTCCACCCTGAGCTCCAGTGAATATGAGCAGGTGCTTGAGATCATCCACAAAGCCATCATTGCCACAGACCTTGCTTTATACTTTGGAAACAGGAAACAGTTGGAGGAGATGTACCAGACTGGATCACTAAACCTTAATAATCAATCACATAGAGACTGTGTAATTGGTTTGATGATGACTGCCTGTGATCTTTCTTCTGTGACAAAACTGTGGCCTGTTACAAAATTGATGGCAAAAGATATATATGTAGAATTCTGGGCTGAGGGTGATGAAATGAAGAAATTGGGAATACAGCCTATTCCTACGATGGACAGAGACAAGAAGGATGAAGTCCTACAAGGCCAGCTTGAGTTCTACAATGCTGTAGCCATTCCCTGCTATACAACCCTTACCCAGATCCTCCCTCCCACGGAGCCTCTCCTTAAAGCATGCAGGGATAATCTCAGTCAGTGGGAGAAGGTGATTCGAGGGGAGGAGACTGCAACTTGGATTTCATCCCCCTCCGTGGCTCAGAAGGCAGCTGCATGTGAAGACTGAGCCCTGATCACCCAACACAGTGTCCCACCTACAGATCCTCATCTTGCTTCTTTGACATTTTTTCCTTTTTCTGGGGGGGTGAGGAGAACCTACACCTGGTAACTGGGGTGCAGACCTCTTCAAGAAGGTAACATCAAGTAAATAAGTCAAGCAAAGGACTTCCTGCCAGTCTCTTCTCTGAGGCGTCATAGACACTGAACAACCAGGACCACCCCACGTTCAGAAATCAGCTGGCCAAGTGACTCCATTTGACTTGCAAACCAGCCTTTTCTAATAGGCTGATATTGCTGAGGCCTTAATGGAAAAGGCCTTCCTTTTTCATTAAGTAGTACTTCTGAGGAATTACTACTTCCTCAGAAGGGGTACTTTTCCATTGTATCTTTCTAATAAAGATTGAAAATAGTTAAAAAAAAAAAAAAAAAAGGAAAGAGAGAGAGAGAGAAAGAAAGACAGCACTTCTACTACTCTGCATGGTTTATTTATTGTAGAACCACGCCCATATATTTGCTTCCAAAAGAAGACATAGCTCAAGAAAAAATGTGGATGAATCAGTAACCATACATAGATGTGAATTCTGCTTTTCACATAACAACTTCAACCTATCGTCCAGCTCATACCAAAGTAGTCATCCTTTTCAGCAGCCTGCGTCAACATAGCAGAGAAGTGGAAAATACACATAGGTAGGTCCCTCATTTGTTTAAATCTGTGAGGGTTACCAGATCTTTAAAGAAAAAGGTTTACTTTAAAGACAACATATAGTTCTAAATTCTAAATTCTGAAGAAAAGGAAATGAATACCAATAAAATCAAAGTAATTTTAAGTTTAAAAAAATGAAACAAAAACTAATCTTGTCTCATTGTGTCATTAAGAACTTGAAGTGTGATATTTATGAAAGGACTATTCTACAGAATATTCTCATTGGAAGTAAGTCTTTGGGAAACATGAGGTTTGTTCATGAAAGCCTCTCACTAACCACTTTACATGAGGACAACCCCATAGGTCCTTTAAGTCCAATTTCTTATTTTCAAAATGCAATGATAAAAGCCCCTTAATATTTCTGAGTATTGTTACAGGAGCTATTCATGAATAAGTTTTGTAAATTCTATAAATTAATAAAGCATGTTGTCATTCTTATTACTTTACTTATTTTAACTACATATAAAGAGTGATTCTATAGGCCCCTGCCAGCTGCTGTCCCCTTGATCTTGGATTTTCCAGCCTCCAGAACCAGGAGCTAATAAATATCTGTTCATTATAAATTACCCAGTCTCAGGTATTTAGTTTTAGTAGCACAAAACAGACTAAGAATCAGTGAGCAATGCAGTGTTGCTTGGTTTGGCAGAGTTCCCTTCAAACTGTCTAAACTCAGAAAGATTTTCCAACTTTCCTGTTAGAGCATTGATCTAACAGGATGAACTAAAAGGAGAACAAGTTTGGAGGGAAAGAAAAAGAAAGAATAATGAGGAAGACAGTCTAATATCCTTCTGGGAAAAAAATAGACATTTCGTTTGCTTAAAAGTAATATACAAAATCAAAATACTATTTATTTACCACTCGTGATCATAAGAGCTTCAAATACATATACTATAAATGATCTTTTTTAATTGAATGGCAATAGCAAAGATGACATTTGTTGATCCTAAGTTTTTGTTTTGAAATTGCAAAGGACTTTCACAACAACACCCCACTGAACTGTCTCAACTGAAATGGGTGGCACAAACCTCATTTTATAGATAACATTTAGCTAAGAGGGATTAAATAGCATGCAAAAATTACACAAGTAGTGAGCAAATCACTCAGGACTCAAACCCAGATCTGACTTACAGTTCTTCCTCTACTCCAGAGAAGGGTGTAAGCACCCTTGGATGCTCCCAAGACAGCATTTTCTTGGGGAGAGAGGATAAGTTTATGAGATTCTTCCTTTTCCAACTACACATCTGCATAATGCCAGATCTTAGCACATACTTTAACCATAAAAATTTATGGCAATAGATTAAAATCAGACGCAATCATGAGAATCCTGCTGTATTCTATTAAGCCAGATATTAAAGAGATTTTCAAAAATAATGCCACTCTTCTCATTAATAGTTTGGTTTCAATAAATATAGTTATTTTCATAAAATGCATTATTTATGTTAATATGTAATGGATATATTGTTGTTATTTTAATAAATTAATAAATGTTTAGAAGTCTTTTTTTGGGGGGGAAGAAAGAAATCAAGAAAAAGAAAGAAAGAGAGAAAGCAAGAAAAAAAGAATGAAAGAGAGAAAGAAAGAGGAAGAGAAAGAGGGAGAGAGAACGGGAGTCTTGCTTTATTGCCCAGGCTAGAATGCAGTCTAAAAATGGGTATTAAAAACCTCTTTTATGCCAGTAATTGTGCTTAACAATGGAGACAGGAAGGAATAAGGGAGGAAAATAACAAACAAGCAGCCGATCAATATTTAATTTAAACCTGTAAAATGCTATGCAGTTACTGAGGAGTGATTTACTTCCAATTATGTAGTCACTTTTAGAGTAGGTGCGATGTGGTACTGAGAAGAATGTATGTTTTGTGGATTTGGGGTGGAGAGTTCTGTAAATGTTTATTAAGTTTACTTGTTCCAGGTCTGAGTTCAAGTCCTAGATATCCTTGTAAATTTTCTGTCTCGTTGATCTGTCTAATATTGACAATGTGATGTTAAAGTCTCCCACTATTATTGTGTGGGAGTCTAAGTCTCTTTATAAGTCATTGAGAACTTGTTTTATGTATCTGGGTGCTCCTGTATTGGGTACGTATTTAGGATCGTTAGCTATTCTTGTTGCATTGATCCTTTTACCATTATGTAATGTCCTTCTTTGCCTCTTTTGATCTTTGTTGCTTTAAAGTCTATTTTATCAGAGGCGAGAATTGCAACTCCTGCTTTTTATTTATTTATTTTTTTGCTCTCCATTTGGTTGGTAAATCTTTCTCCATCTCTTTGCTTTGAGTCTTTGTGTATCCTTGCATGTGAGATGGGACTGGATGCAGCATACTGATGGGTTTTGGCTTTTTATCCTATTTGCCTGTCTGTGTCTTTTGATTGGGGCATTTAGTTGATTTATATTTAAGATTAATATTAATATATGTGAGTTTAATGCTGCCATTTAATGCTAGCTGGTTGTTTTGCCCATTAATTGATGTAGATTCTTCATTATGTTGATGCTCTTTACCTTTTGGCATATTTTTGGAATGGCTGATACAGGTTGTTCCTTTCTATATGTAGTGCTTCTTTCAAAAGCTCTTGTAAAGCAGGCCTGGTGGTGATGAAATCTCTGAGTACTTGCTTGTTCACAAAAGATTTTATTTTTTCTTCACTTATGAAGCTTAGTTTGGCTAAATATGAAATTCTGAGTTGAAAGTTCTTTTCTTTAAAGATGTTGAATATTGGCCCCCACACTCTTCTGACTTGTAGGGTTTCTGCTGAGAGAACTGCTGTGAGTCTGATAGGCTTCCCTTCGTGGGTAACCTGACATTTCTCTCTGGCTGCCCTTAGCATTTTCTTCTTCATTTCAACCCTGGTGAATCTGATGATTACATGCCTTGGGGTTGCTCTTCTTGAGGAATATCTTTGTGGTGTTCTCTGTATTACCTGGAATTGAATATTGTCCTACCTTGCTAGGTTGGGAAAGTTTTCATGAATAATATCCTAAAGAATATTTTCCAGCTTGGATTCATTCTCTTTGTCACATTCAGGTAGATTAGGTCTTTTCACATAGTCCCATATTTCTTGGAGACTTTACTCATTCCTTTTTACTCTTTTTTCTATAATCTTGTCTTCTTGTTTTATTTCATTGAGTTGATCTTCGACCTCTGATATCCTTTCTTCTNTATTGTGTTTTTCAGCTCCATTAATTCACTTATATTCCTCTCTAAATTGTCTATTCTTGTTAGAATTTCGTCAAACCTTTTTTCAAGGTTCTTAGTTTCTTTGCATTGGGTTAGAACATGTTCTTTTAGCTCACAGAAATGTCTTATTGTCCACCTTCTGAAGCCTGATTCTGACAATTCATCACACTCATTCTCCATCAGGCCTTGTTCCCTTGCTGATGAGGAGCTGTGATCCTCTGAAGGAAAAGAGGCATTCTGGTTTCAGATGTTTTCGGTCTTTTTGCGCTGGTTTCTTCCCATCTTTGTGGATTTATCCACCTGTCACCTTTATAATTGCTGACTTTTAGATTGGGTCTCTGAATGGATTTTCAGCTTGTTGGTGATGATGTTATTTCTGTTTCTTTGTTTTCCTTCTGCGGACGCCCCTCCCCTACAGAGCTGGACCTTCCCAGGTTCAGCTGTGCTTGCTGTGAAACTCTCAACTGTCAGCGTTTCCAATTGCTGGTTTTTCTGGGGGTAGGACCAGCCGAGCCTGATCACCTGGCTCCCCTCCTCGGAGCCCCCTTTTTTTCTTTTCCTAATTGAACGGTGGATTCTCTCCCAGGTGCCCCAGTTGCCAGCCGAAAAGGTGCTGGGATCTATGCAATTTCCCGTGTGGTGACTGCGCCGGCTGAAACAGCAGCGCTGAGATTCATGGTGCTTTTCTGCCCGGGAATCTCCCAGTCTGGCTCCCCGCTTCAGTCCCCTTTTCAATCAGCTGAATGGGTGACTCTGCCTTCCCGGAGCTCCAAATGCCAAGTAAAAGGGCACCCAGTCCTGCATACTCCGCACTGAAAACCGCCACTCCGGGATGCCAGCAAAACAGCCCTGCCGGCCAAAAGAGTCCGCTGGCAACCCGTGGGGCCCCTCTGCTGGGAATCTCCTGGTCCATGGGCAACAAAAATTCATCTGGATGTCTGGCATCCACTCACTCCCTGTGTCTTCATTGGGAGATGCAATCCTGAGCTGCTGCTAATTGGCCATCTTGGATCTGTCTCTAGAGGTCTTACATTTTTAATTTCTAAAATGGTAAATGCCAATAGATATAATCCACCGTGAAAAGTTATTTGGGTTCTTCAACAATTTTAAGAGTACAAAGAATTCCTGATACCAAAACAAAAGCCTGACAAATACTGCTCTACACTATGGTCCAAGCAAGTCTATTTCTCATCTACATTTTTAATGTAG